ATTATATGCTATTTTAGTTCAGTGCTGTGTAAAAATGATGCACCGGGGGAAAAATGCTCCTTGTCCCTCCCCCACTTCCTGGCATTTCTATGCCAGAAGGACTTTGGCAGGATGTTAATGATGGTGGGTAAGTTATTTTGTATTTTAAGGCCTTTGGGGGTGGGGGTGGGGAGGAGTTTGGTGCCCTCTGGGTTTTCTGTGCTCATTCAGCCTGAAAAACCCGAGAGGGCTATGTGGATTGGTCTTGGGAATCATGCGGAACTGTCCCTGGGCCCAATCCACACAGGGCTCATACCAGGAAAGATCTTATCACGTATCAAATTAATTTGGAACAAACCAAGGTTGTCTCAAATTAATTCGGTTTTACCAGAGACATTGTTTGGATGCCTCCGGTAAAACCACGAGAAATAAACAACATTGCAATAAAGTACAAAGCATATAAATACAATAAATAAGCAGTATACATGAAGCATAAGAAAGCAATAAACAACATAATAACAATGAGGTAGGTACTACCTACTGGGAATATTCGAAGAAGAATGGGATTTAAGCACTAACGACGATATACTGTTCACCTATCTCACGACGGCAGCAAGAGTAGTCTATGCGAGGAAATGGAAAACAAAAGAAACACCAACAGAAGGAGAATGGTTAGAGAAAGTCCTAGAAATAAAAGAAATGGACATGCTAACCTACGCACTAAAAGACACATATGGACGCCCACTCAAAAGAACAGACTGGAACCCATTAAAGGAATACATGGAGAGAAATGCAATTCCAGGAAAATAAGAGTGGATCACAAAACAAGAGTCAGAATAAAATTACAAGGGATAAGCCATAAATCAAAGCTGAACAGAAGAAACGAAACCGTGAACGTGGAGAAGATAGAGTTGGAAGTCAACCCCCTAAGATCCCATCCCCCCTCTCCCCCCTTGTTGCCCCTCCCCTTCCCAGATCCCACCTGTCCCCGAAAACCTAGGTAAACACCTGATAGGGAATTCCTCCCCTTACTTTCCTCACCTTCCCCATCCCCCCCCCACACTGTTTTTAACTATTTTGTATAACTATTAAAAACCCCCACTGTTGTATTTTGAAAAAATTTCATAATAAAAAATATTAAAAAAAAAACAATGAGCGGGCCGCATGTACAATAAAATGGTTTAAAAACTCAGGGTGAGATAAAAGGAGCAAATTACTGGCATGGAGAAACACTCATAGAGAAACAGTGTAATAAACATACCTTTGTACAAGGGGGGCGGCTACTAGGTCAAAATGTTGAGGGGGCAATAGCTAAAGCTTGTGTGGATACTCTCCAAAAGCGCAGAGGCAAAACCAGGTCTTGAGATCCTTTTTAACAACAAAGATCCACCTAGTCAAAGCCATGGTATTCCCTGTAGTCACCTACGGATGTGAGAGCTGGACCTTAGGGAAGGCTGAGCGAAGGAAGATCGATGCTTTTGAACTGTGGTGTTGGAGGAAAGTGCTGAGAGTGCCTTGGACTGCGAGAAGATCCAACCATTTAAGATGCAATTGACGATCTATCTCTTCCTGTAGACCTACCCAGTCAATGTTGCCTACAATCCTTTATACACAAACCTGATAGTTCCACTAAATTCCATGCGGATTACGTCTGAATAGTGTGTGCAAGATCATACTTATAAGCTGTTCTGTTCCCCTGCTCATTCACACACTGAGGTTTAGCAGCTTATATTGGGATAGCTCAACCACTGGAGCCAAGAGGGGTATGAATTTTATTTTTATGGAATTAATAGCAAAGTCCAGGAAAAACATGGATTGTGGTCAGATGCAATGTGAAAAGAGATGCTTTATGGCTTCAGAATAAATTCAGCCACAAAGAACCAGTGGCCCTACCGTTAAACAAAATACGCCGGGATTGTGGCACAGCTGGCTGAGTGTCAGCTGCATTAAGATCACTCTGACCAAAAGGTCATGAGTTCGAAGCCAGCCCGGGTTGAAGTGGGTTTCCAACCAATTGTGTGTAGCCTGTTGTCGACCTTTGCAACCCGAAAGACAGTTGCATCTGTTAAGTAGGAAAATTAGGTACCACCTTAAAAGTGTGGGGAGGCTAAATTAACTGATTTATGAGGCCATAAAGAAGACTCCAGCAAAAGCATTTCAGTGGGGAAGCATGCGGGGAATGCGGAAGTGCTTCATCAGCGTCGCAGATGGGCGATGAAAGCGACAGCTCCCCTGGCGGCCAGAAAAAGTTAAATAGCCTCTGTGTATGTCTGTATATGTTTGTATGTCAAAAATTGGCATTGAATGTTTGCCATATATGTGTACACTGTAATCCGCCCTGAGTCCCCTGCGGGGTGAGAAGGGCGGAATATAAAAGCTGTAAATAAATAAATAAATAAATAAATAAATAAATAAATAAATAAATGTCAACAGATTTTGGAATTTAAGGATGAGCAGCAAATGGTTAGTTTAATTTATTCTTCTTATATATTTACTGCATTGGAATGGAAGAGATATGCTTTTGGGATTTCCTGCCTTGAGTATCAGAGTAACTTTGCTTGCTTTAGATCCCTACCAGTAACTTTGAGAAGTATCACTTCCAACTCCATATAGGGTGGCAAAATCACTCTCATATACAAGATTTACTTTATATACGTATCAGGGATGGTGATAAACAGTTTAACCTAAGTTAAAAGCAGAAAAGACTTTGTATTTAGGTCCAAAATTATTGGTTGTTTCAATTTATACTTCTTTGTGAATTGAGAGTGATGGTATTTTACAGTTAATATAGCAAGAGCAATTTTTTTTTGGTTGTGTCAGGAGCGACTTGAGAAACTGCAAGTTTCTTCTGGTGTGAGAGAATTGGCCATCTGCAAGGACGTTGCCCAGGGGACGGCCGGATGAATTGGTTTTTATCATCCTTGTGGGAGGCTTCTCTCATGTCCCCGCATGAGGAGCTGGAGCTGGAGCTGGAGCTGGTAGAGGGAGCTCATCCACCTCTCCCCAGATTTGAACCTGCGAACTGTCGGTTTTCAGTTCTGCCAGCACAGGGGTTTAACCCACTGCGCCACAGGGGGCAAGTGCAATAACAGTACAGTGGAACCTGGACTTAAGAGCATCCCAACTTAAGAGTGTTTCAATTGAAGAGTTGTCACTCAGCCCCAGTTTCACTTTGACATAAGAGCAGTGTTGAGTTAGCAGATGACACCAAAGGGAGCGGTAGCTCGAGAGTACAGGGCTTTGGGGCTTCAAGGGAGCAGGCTTCGTGCCTCGTGCTCTTGTCCACTTTGGGATATTGCTGTCTGCTTTGCTCTTGTCTGCTTTAAGGAACTATGGGTTACTTGTTTTGTGTGGTTTTTATTCTTGGTATGTTTGGCTTTATGAAGAGAAGTTGGGGGGGGGGGGGAGAGCACGAGGGGGAGGGAGGCTAGAATGAGTACAGCATGAATAAAATTATGTATCTGCCTCTTCGCTTTGTGCTTCCTTGCCACAACTTTGTGCTTCTACCATTTTAAAGTTGATCTTTTTATTGTTTCCTGTAAGTGTGCAATTATATATTCTTTGTTATTTATAAAGTACATTTTCTTATTTAAAAGCACACAACAAAAATGTGAGGGGAGGCAGGGAGCGGAACAGATTAATAGCACTTTAATGGGAAATTTTACTTTGAATTAAGAGTTCAGTCACAGAACAAATTAAGGTATCACTGTACACATTTCTGCCCATGTAAACAATACACTTGGATTCAGGATCATGTGTATGTCTATATGTGCAAGTGTATCGTTGGAATGTTTAAGTATGTCATTTCTTAAGTGAATGTAAGTAAATGTAAGAATCAGACCCAAGCATGCTGGTCTGTAGGTTGGTAGGGGGTGAGGCAGTCTCTCAGGTACATCGGTCCCAGATCATGTAAAGCCTTAAATTGTTTTTAAATTGTTTTTAAATTGTGTTAGATTTTAGCCTGTTCTTGTAAGCCGCTCCGAGCCCCAGGGGAGTGGCGGCATATAAGTTCGAATAATAAATAAATAAATAAATAAATAATAAAGGTAAGTACCATCAGTTTAAAAGTGATCCGGTGTTCAATCGGTAACCAATGCAGCTGCAGTAAGATTGGGGTTATGTGACATCTCATTGGAGCTCTCGCAAGAAGTCGAGCAGCTGCATTTTGCACCAATTTGAGCTTCCGGATCACCAGCAAAGGAAGGCCAATGTAGAGGGCGTTACAGTAGTCCAGTCTTGAGATGACCGTGGCCTGGAGTACCATAGCTAGGTCATCCCTGGACAGATAGGGGGCCAGCTGTCTCGCCTGCCACAGATGAAAAAAGGTGGTTCTGCTCACGGCGGAGACCTGAGCCTCCATTGTTTGCAGATTTGTTGATGGCAATTATTGTTAGTGAAGTCTTCTCCTAGTTGCAGTTTTTGTTTCGTGTCAGGAACAACTTGAGAAACTGCAAGTCACTTCTGATGTGAGAGAATTGGCTATCTGCAAGGTCAATGCCCAGAGGGCGCCCAGATATTTTGATGTTGTACCATCCTGTGGGAGGTTTCTCTCATGCCCCCACATGAGAAGTTGGATCTGACAGACAGGAACTCACCCTGCCCCCCAGATTCGAACCGCCAACCTTTCTGTCAGCAGTCCTGCCAGCACAAGGGTTTAACCCATTGCACCACTGGGGGCTCCAGTACATCTGAATTAAAAGAGTAAGCACGATTAGTCTTCTTTTGTCTGAGCTGAACTATAAACTTGGCTGAACATTGCTTTACTCGACATGAGGCCTGCAGTCAAGCAGTTTAATTTACCAGGTGCTGTGAATACTTTATGGTAAAATGCACAGAGGAATTTGCTAGAGAAAAGGCAGTGCTTCATAAAATTAAGTACTCTTCGGTTCCTGTGGGACAATTACTGAGGAAAGAACAAACCCCAGAATTTCACTTCATTTCCAAAGTTTTCCTTTTAAAACAAAGCCTTCAAAAGTGAACATACTCATGAGGAATGGACAGATTCCTGAATGGATCCGTGACAGCTTTGATGTCCCAGTTTATTACCAGATATGCACCTCAATATCCTGCCAATTTTCCAGGATTTTCAAAACAGATGTTCTGACTCCCAAGTGCACATTTTAATTTCAGGCTGATTCAGATCTGAAGCACACGTGATTGGTTCATCTCCCGATCAACTCAGAAACTTCTTTCTTTTTTTCTTCCGCCACTCTTTATTGCCCGTGTCTTCAGTGTTACTAGGAGGCTCTGGGGTTACAAAACCATCCGTCAGTTTATAGTAGACTATTGTAGAGTCTGTTTCAACCACAGCCAGAGTGATGGCCAGCGAGGGAGGTGCCTCGTCCTCCCAAGCCCATGCGCTCTTCATGATCTGCCTCATTCTGAAAGAAAGAAAGCAAATGACTTTCCAGTTTGTCAACATCTCCCTTCGATTGTGGTGCTCAAAATTGGCACAGTGTGATTCCACGTGTGGTCTGACCAAGGCAGAATAATATAGGTAGCATGACTTCCCTGAAGCTAGGCACTACACTCCTATTTATGCGGGCCAAAACAACAACTACAACAAAACTTTATTTATATACTGTTCTATCTCCCCGATGGGACTCAGAGCAGTTTCCAAGTAACATCATCAATACATACAAAGAAAACAGCATAAACATAAAATTAACAAGACAATATAAGCCAGCTGCGCCCATACCTTGGGAAGTCTGACTTGGCCACGGTGGTCCATGCTCTTGTTACATCCCGAATAGATTACTGCAATGCTCTCTACATGGGGTTGCCTTTGAAGACTGTTCAGAAGCTTCAAATGGTCCAACGGGCAGCAGCCAGGTTATAACAGGAGCGGAACTCAGGGAGTACACTACTCCTTTCTTGCGTCAGCTCAATTGGCTGCCAATTTGCTACTGGGCACAATTCAAAGTGCTGGCTTTAGCCTATAAAGCCCTAAACGATTCTTTCCCAGCTTACCTGTCCAAACGTATCTCCTCCTATGAACTATCTTGACGATCTTGACAGATTAGCGAAATGGGCCAAAATTAACAAAATGAAGTTCAACAGTGACAAATGCAAGATACTCCACTTAGGCAGAAAAAACAAAATGCGAAGATACAGAATGGGGGACAATGCCTGGCTTGAGAGCAGTACGTGTGAAAAAGATCTTGGAGTCCTCGTGGACAACAAGTTAAACATGAGCCAACAATGTGATATGGCGGCAAAAAAAGCCAATGGGATTTTGGCCTGTATCAATAGGAGCATAGTGTCTAGATCTAGGGGAGTAATGCTACCCCTTTATTCCGCTTTGGTTAGACCACACCTGGAATATTGTGCCAATAGGAGGGTGACTAAAATGATCAAGGGTCTGGAGAACAAGCCCTATGAGGAACGGCTTAAGGAGCTGGGCAAGAAGAGAAGGATGAGAGGAGATATGATAGCCATGTATAAACAGGGAGGAGGGAGCAAGCTTGTTTTCTGCTTCCATGGAGATTAGGACAAGGAATAACGGCTTCAAACTACAAGAAAGGAGATTCCATCTGAACATGAGGAAGAACTTCCTGACTGTGAAAGCCGTTCAGCAGTGGAACTCTCTGGTGAAGGTTCCTTCTTTGGAAGCTTTTAAACAGAGGCTGGATGGCCATCTGTCAGGGGTGATTTGAATGCAATATTCCTGCTTCTTGGCAGGGGATTGGACTGGATGGCCCATGAGGTCTCTTCCAACTCTTTGATTCTATGATTCTATGATCTAGGAGCTTAGGATCATCTGGGGAGGCCCTGCTCTTGATCCCACCTGCCTCGCAAGTGCAATTGGCAGAGACGAAGGACAGGGCCTTCTCAGTGGTGGCCCCCCGGCTATGGAACTTCCTTCCCAGGGATATTATATATAGGCCCCCTCCCTCCTGACTTTCCGAAAAAAAAGTAAAGACCTGGCTCTTTGGGCAAGCTTTTGAGAATGAAGTGGAATAGATAACACGGATCTATGAATGATGAACATGGAATGGCCAGACGATGTTACTGGATAACGTTTTTAACAGGATTACGCCAATGATTATATATTTTAACGGTTTTTATATATGTTTTATATTGTAATGTTGATTGTTTTTAATGGCACTTTTATGAATGCCTGGCAACGAATTGTGCCGCCTTGAGTCACCATATGGCTAAGAAAGGCGGGCTATAAATATCGTAAATATATATCATAAATAAATAAATATATTTTAAAAGCCAGCTCCTTCTGGATCCCAAGGTAGCTGTCTCATATGTGAAGAACGAGAAGAGAACCACTGACCGCATAGGGAAGCTGATGAGAAAACACAACATACAAACTATCTACAGACCCACCAAGAAAATCCAACAAATGCTACGTTCAGCAAAGGACAAGAGGGATCAGCTCGCTTCTGCAGGAGTCTACCATATACCATGCAGCTGTGGACAAGTCTACATAGGGACCACCAAACGCAGCATCGTCCAAACACAAATCAAGGGACATGAAAGGCACTGCAGACTACTTCAACCAGAGAAATCAGCCATAGCAGAGCACTTGATGAACCAACCTGGACACAGCATTTTATTTGAGAACACAGAAATGCTGGGCCACTCTCACAACCACCATGTCAGACTACACAGAAAAGCCATTGAAATACACAAGCATGTGGGCAATTTCAACAGAAAGGAGGAAACTATGAAAATGAACAAAATCTGGCTACTAGTATTAAAAAAACTCTTAAAATTGCAACAGCACAACAACAGAGAGGAAACAAACAAGGACATCTAATTACCTCTCAACAAAAGTTTGCTCCAGGCACAGTCAGCCCATTGTATGTTAATCAAAGTGGTCAGTTGAAACATTCACACCTAGCTCCAACAGACAAGAGTCCTTTGTCTCACCCTGGTCATTCCACAGATATATAAACCCATTTTCCTACTTCCAACAGAACTCACTACCTCTGAGGATGCTTGCCATAGATGCAGGCGAAACGTCAGGAGAGAATGCCTCTAGACCATGGCCATACAGCCCGAAAAAACCTACAACAACCCAGTGATTCCGGCCATGAAAGCCTTCGACAATACAACGAGAAGAGAGAAAGAATACCCTGAAAAATATCAAGTAGCTGCTAGAAAGACCAGATCTTAGTCACAGGTCCATTTACTTATTTGAGACCACCTTAAAAGTGTATTGAGCTAGTGCTAATTTCCTTTTTTCCCTGCATCATAAGCATGCCAGTTAGTTCCCACATATCCCCTCGGTGCTGGAGATGATTTAGAAAATATCCTACAAGGGAATGCATCTCTGGAATTAAGGAAGTCGGCACTTCCGAGGCCTCAAGGCATCATTGTTAGAGCAAACGTAAAGAATTCCTGATGAGCTTTACTTCTACAAAGGTCATTTGTGAAAGGGAGACAGAAGGGGATCTGACTGTGAAGCTTTCTGCCCACGATTACACTGCAGGCATTGTATAGCACATCTGCCATGAATAAGGATATTGATAGGCTATGCGTCAAGTTGATAGAATAATGCATGCTGGCCAAGAACATTTCCAACTTCAAAAGAGTTGTGGGATAAAAGCACGGAAATACCGGTGGAGGGAGTCAAATGAAGACAGGGACACTTGGTGGTGACTCACTGTTTCCAACATTTATTCTGAATTTCTGAAAAACTAAGACAACCGAGTGGCACAAGAAGCTACCTTATACTAAGTTAGACCAATGATCCATCCATACTAGGACTGTGTACAGTGACTAGCAGCAGCTTTCCAAAGTCTCAGGGCTCTTCCACACAACCATATAACTCATAATATGAAGGCAGATAATCCACAATATCTGCTTAGAGCTATTTGAGTCCACACTGCCATATATCCCAGTTCAGTGTGGATTTTACAGCTATGTGGAAGGTGCCAGGGACTTTTCTGGCCAGACCTGGAGGTGCCAGAGACAAAAAAGTATGGCCACTTGCATGCGAAGGAGACATTCAACCAATTTACCTCCTCCTCTGAATTCAGTAAAAATATGGAATTAATTAATGTACGTTGGGGGTACTTTGGGGAAAAATGAGTTTCACTCAGCCTGACTTGAAATATGGAAGTCAGTACTGCAGCATCTGGGGGTTCCTTCTGTATGTTGGGGCCTTGGATCTGTACCTCAAACTCCTAGACCAGCAGAGATGAATAAATGAATAAAATGTATATGAATACATATACATATATATGAATAAAAATGTAATGTTCGTTTGTGGGATTAACATAATTCAAAAACCACTGGGCGAATTGACACCAAAGTTGGACACAATACACCTATCTGGCCAATGAGTGTCCATCACCCCTAAAAACAACACACAAAATCCAGCAGAGTGGACTTTAAAACCAAAATAAACCATATATACATATACACATATACACATGCACACATTCATACAGACACACACATATATATACGCAAGCACACACAAATATACACATATACACACGCATACATATACACCTATATACATATATACATATAAACACAGAAATATAGATATACACATGCACACTTACATACACACACATAGATATACGCAAGCACACACAGATGTACGCAAGCACACAAATATAGAAAACAGGTGAAAACCTGGCTCTGGAAACTGGCATTTGACGAGTGAGTCAATAACTCATGGCTATATGGATGGATGGTGATGAACAACGATTTTATTGTGTTGACTTGGCCATTGTAATTATATGATTGTATTTTTGGTATTTTAATGTGTTAGTGTATTATGGAATGTGATGTTTTTAAGCGATTGCTTGTGATATTATTGTTGGAAACCGGCCTGAGTCTCTCCACGGAGGTGAGAAGACTGGTATACAAAAGTTCTAAATAAATAAAAATAAAATAATAAATATACACATATAGTATACACACACATACATATACACCTACACACATATACACATACACATACATACACAAATATATGCATATACACAAGCACACACATGTACACAATATACATATACACATATGAACACAAATACACAAATAAATACACACACATATATACACACAAACACACATATACACATATACACAAATATATGCACACAACATTACAACACATGTGCAAAACCACATATATATGCAAGCACACATATATACACATATACACAAATATATATACACACACATATGCACACATAAAACACATACACAAACTAGGCCACAGCAACGCGTGGCAGGGGATGGCTAGTTATAAATATAGCACAAGCCTTACTGAAGGGAAGGTCTAATACAGGGGTCCTCAAACTATAGCCCGGGGGCCGGATATGGCCCTCCAAGGTCATTTACCCGGCCCTCTCTCAGGGTCAACCTGAGTTTGAAACGACTTGAAAGCACAACAACAACAACAACA